CACACACATGTAATCCCAGCACTCAGGAGGATGAGGCAAAAGGATCATCTATGGGTTCAAGGTCAGCCTGGGCTACATAGTGAGACCCTGTCTCAAAAACAAAAACAAAAACACCCAGCTGGGCATGGTGGTGCACACCGATGATCCCAACACTTTTGAGGCTCAAGCAGGAGGACAGGATAGGCAGGGCTGTATAGTGAGTTTAAGGCCAGCCTAAATTACAGAGCAGGACTCTGCCTCAAAAAAAAAAAAGAAAAAGAAAAAACCCAGAGCTGGCCATGGTGGCACACACTTGTAATCCCAGCACTTAGGTGGCTGAGGCAGGAGGACTGCTTTGAGTTTGAGGCCAGCTTGGGCCACTTAAGTGAGTTTAAGACCAACCTGAACTATACACTGAGACTGTCTCAAAAAACAAAAATAAACATAAAATAATAACCTCCTCCAAAAAGAGATGTATGCTACCAAAAAATATCTAAGTTACTTTCTGGTCTGAAATTGACTGGTTTTTTCGGCTTCTTAAATATATTTTTAAAAAACAGCATAGATATGGGGCCGGGGATTTTGCTCAGTGGCAAAGCGCCTACCTGGCAAGCAAGTGCAAGGTCGTGAGTTCGATTCCTGGTACCGGAAGAAAAACAAAACAAAAACAACAAAACAGAAATGAATAGCATAGATAGGTACAGCTTTACAGTCACTCACTCAATGGAAAGTAAAGTCTTGACTCCACTGGACACTGCAGGGGGCACTGAAAGACAAGAGGGCAGAAAAGCGACTGCATCCCTATTCTCTGGGCACTTCGCTTACAGAAAGACAGACTACCCCAGAGAAACACCACAGAAAAGTGTGTGGACCACGAAGTGCATACAGGAAGCTAAAAGAACACATAACAGGCACACCAACCCAACCTGGAGCTGCGCAGAGGGCTCGCTGAAAGCGTGTCTAAGCCGAGGTCGTTCACTACAGGTAGAAGAGCACTCCAGAAAAGCAGAGCACTGGCCCAGCAGGGCCGGCACCCTCAGACTTCACCCTCAAACCAGCACTCTTTAGGTAACAAGCTACGATAGCATGGCAGGAGGCTGGTTCTGAGACCGGCGGGCGGGCAGGCATGGTCTGCCTCACCTCGGAAAGCCGGCATCACCAGGCATGGTAACAGCTGTGTGATCGCAGCCATTCAAGGCTTTGCTGAAACGATTAGTGTCGGTGTTAATGTTCAAATTATTTTCAGTTAAGCCAAATAACTTCACAAAATGACATCTCATACAAGGAACCCCACTTGGAACTTCAACCGTGAAAAGACACTTTCACCTTCCTCACGGGTGCAGGAGATTCCATGTGACATGTTGTGGCCAAATGCTAGGAGATATTCTGGTACTCTGCAGAATAAGTATGTTCTTTTTTTTTTTTTTTTTTTTAAATTTTAAGTACTCGGGATTGAACCCAGGGCGTTTGCCCTGAGCTATATCCCCTGTCCATTTTTTATTTTTTTGAGACAGGGTCTCACTAAATTGTTAAGTTGTCCAAGCTGGTCTCAAACTCATGATATTCCTGCTTCAGTCTCCTGAGTCCTGGGACTACAGGCCTGCGCCACCAGGCCCACTGGAATCACTACCTTCTAACTAAAACATTTCTTTAGATCCAGTTGTGCTTCCATTTTCTTCACAATGAGAAAAACCTTCCGCAGGTCTGCCTGGGGGGGGAGCGGGGAGCGGGGGCTGTGTGCCTACGCTAGTGTTGGCAAAACTTTTAGAACTTTCAGTGATAAAAGCCCACTACAGCATGCGTACGGTAGGTTCCTCACCACTGGCACGTAATATCCTCTAAGGCCCCTGTGAGCTCCAGACACTGACCTCCCCATATGTGCTAGAAGGGCCAAGGCCACACGCCTCACTGTCACTGGCAGACCACCTCTCATCCGCTCCACTCCAGCAGGACCCTTCAGGAAAGACCTGTTTTACACACATATTTCAGTTGAATCTAAATTTCATCCAAATTAGAGCTTCTAAGTGACCCAAATAATTGTTTTAAAACTATATGCCTTAAAGAATGAAAAAACTAAACAAACAAAATACAGTCAAAATAGCAAGAAAGACAGTAGACTTCTACCTAATTCCCCAAACTTAGTTTTATAAATAATTTGCTGTTTTAAAATCAGAAGAGTCACAAAAACAATCACCTATACCCAGAAATGGTAACTGCAAACTCTTTTATGGAAAACATTTTTAAATTACAAGTTACTAGATTAAAGAATTGGTACATAATGCAAGTGTATCTATAAAATACTACCCTATGAAAAAGAAATTTTACCAAAAAAAGTTAAAGGGCTCCAATTATGCAAGTAAAGGCAATTTATGCAGTTCAGATTTGTCTAGTTTAAAATAACTTTTTGAAAAAACTTCTATTAGTTTTACTCAATGAACAGTGTTCTGCTAAAAGAGAACGCTATTACGGATACTTCCAGGTAAGTGACCTGTTTTTGTTGTTGTTTTGTTTTTTGAGACAAGGTCTCGCCATGCAGTTCAGGCTGGCCTTGAGCTCACTTTGTAGCTCAGGCTGTTCTCGCACTCACAACAATCCTCCTGCCTCAGGCTCCTGAGTGCTGGGATTACAGGCATGCACCACCACACCTGGCTCCAGGTGACTACTTGAGAAGTGTGCTGGCACATGTCTGTGAATCCAGCGCTACCAAAGGCTGAGGCAGGAGGACTCCAAGTTCAGGCCCAATCTAGGCAACCTGGCAACTTACTGAGACCCTGTCTCAAAACAAAATAAATAAATAAAATAAAAAAAGTTCAGTGAGAGGACCCTGGGTTCAATCTCTAGCACAAAAAAAGAAAGAAAGAAAAAAGAAATAACCTTTCAGGGTTAAGGATTCAGTTCAGTAGTAGAGCACTAGCCTAGCATTCAAAAAGCCCTGGGTTCAACATCCAGCATCACAAATGAGGCAGGGTCTCAATACCTATGTAGCCCAAGCTGACCTCAAACTCACAACAATCCTCCTGCCTCAGCCTCCCAATTGCTCAGATTGCAGGAGTGTGTTACTATACCCAGCAAACAAAAAGAAAAATTTAAAGTAAAGCTTGGCATTAGTAATTAGATAATGAACTTAGTTTTTAACCACATCGTGATTTATATAAATACAAATCTTAAAATTGATTTGTGGAAGAAAAAAAGGAACCTGATCTTTTTAGTCCTAGCCTGAATGTCAAGATGGCAGCTTTTCAACTGACAATTACTCTCTTTTCTTTTTCCCTTGGGGAGTGGTGGTGGTACTGAGGACTGAACAAGGAACTTGAACATCCTAAATAAGCAAACATGCTACCACTGAGCTACATCACCAGCCCTTTCTACTTTTTATTTTGAGACAGGGTCTTGCTAAGTTGCCCAAACTGGCCTTGAACTTGGGATCCTCCTGCCTCAGCCTCCACAGTAGCTGGCATGTACCACTGCACCTAGCATGTTTGTTTTAGCTATATTTTACATCTACTGAGTGTTTCAGAGCTTTAAAATCCATTGCAATTATTACATTATTAATTACAACATGTGCATTGTAATACTCCCTTTTTAAAGATGTGCAAATTATAGTTAAATAACTTGTCCAAGGTCACCCAACAAGTAAGTCAGGGACACAGCTGGGAGCAGCACTAAAATTACAGCTCCCAGACAACTACTGCACTTTCCCAATTCCAAAATAGAGAGAAGTCAAGCTATTTATTTTGAGAAACTTCTAACAATATGCCCCAAGTGTAAGTAGCAGTGAACTTATTCTAATAAACTCGAATAAGGATTCACCTTGAATGAAAGAAACAACTCTCTACATTGTAGATACCTTTGTTACAAGCAGAAACACCGTACTACATCTGCGCATAGGACATCCTCAAGGATGCTCACTCTTCAACGTGTAGTTAATTTTCACACTAACTGAGCATTTACAAATTAATGTTACCACCTTGTCCCATCCTGAGGCGCTAATTTCCTCATTTTCCTAAGAGTCAAGTCAAAAACCACCACCTCAAAAGTAGGCAGTTCTCACAACATAGTTACATGGCCAAGGAAAAGAAAAGCTCTAATAAATTGCTAGTTTTAAAGATATTTTAAACCGTGATTGCATGCTGCACAGTTACTGTTAGGTCGCCAGCCTCGCCGAGCAGGAGGGTTCCTTTAAAGTAGCTCTTAAGGCACATCCCTCCCTCTTTGGGACACAGCCCGACTTGTCCGACAAGATTCACCTGGGCACGCTCACGCAGAGCCCCTCCGAGCAGCTCTGCCCGGTGGGAACATCACTTCTACTCCCCAGCCCTTACCAGCCCTCGCGGGCGCAAGGAAGAGGAGGACCCTCTTCCCAGCTTCTGGCAGAAGGTTCCTCCGCGGAGACAACGACAGCCGCCCCTCCCGCGGGGGGCTTTGGAGATACCAAGTGCCAACCCCAGGGGCAGAGGCTCCGAGGTGTCAGTGCGGCAGCAGGTGGAGAGCCCCGCGTGCCGCGCAGGGCCGCTCGGGCCGGGGCGCGCTCCTCCGCCTGCCGCCCCGGGGAGCCGTGCACACCTTCCCGAGCCACCCCGCACCCAGCCCCCCAGCCCAGGGCGGGACTCCCACCCGGGGACGAGGCCG